CATAGTCTAGTATGTGTATTAGTACTGTATATGCATAGTCTAGTATGTGTATTAGTACTGTATATGCATAATCTAGTATGTGTATTAGTACTGTATATCCATAGTCTAGTATGTATATTAGTACTGTATATGCATAGTCTAGTATGTATATTAGTACTGTATATGCATAGTCTAGTATGTGTATTAGTACTGTATATGCATAGTCTAGTATGTATATTAGTACTGTATATCCATAGTCTAGTATGTGTATTAGTACTGTATATGCATAATCTAGTATGTGTATTAGTACTGTATATCCATAGTCTAGTATGTGTATTAGTACTGTATATGCATAGTCTAGTATGTATATTAGTACTGTACATCCATAGTCTAGTATGTGTATTAGTACTGTATATGCATAGTCTAGTATGTATATTAGTACTGTATATGCATAGTCTAGTATGTGTATTAGTACTGTATATGCATAGTCTAGTATGTATATTAGTACTGTATATCCATAGTGTAGTATGTATATTAGTACTGTATATGCATAGTCTAGTATGTATATTAGTACTGTATATCCATAGTCTAGTATGTATATTAGTACTGTATATCCATAGTCTAGTATGTATATTAGTACTATATATCCATAGTCTAGTATGTATATTAGTACTGTATATCCATAGTCTAGTATGTATATTAGTACTGTATATCCATAGTCTAGTATGTATATTAGTACTGTATATGCATAGTCTAGTATGTATATTAGTACTGTATATCCATAGTCTAGTATGTATATTAGTACTGTATATCCATAGTCTAGTATGTATATTAGTACTGTATATCCATAGTCTAGTATGTATATTAGTACTGTATATGCATAGTCTAGTATGTATATTAGTACTGTATATGCATAGTCTAGTATGTATATTAGTACTGTATATCCATAGTCTAGTATGTATATTAGTACTGTATATGCATAGTCTAGTATGTATATTAGTACTGTATATGCATAGTCTAGTATGTATATTAGTACTATATATGCATAGTCTAGTATGTATATTAGTACTGTATATGCATAGTATAGTATGTATATTAGTACTGTATATGCATAGTCTAGTATGTATATTAGTACTGTATATCCATAGTGTAGTATGTATATTAGTACTGTATATGCATAGTCTAGTATGTATATTAGTACTGTATATCCATAGTCTAGTATGTATATTAGTACTGTATATCCATAGTCTAGTATGTATATTAGTACTGTATATCCATAGTGTAGTATGTATATTAGTACTGTATATGCATAGTCTAGTATGTATATTAGTACTGTATATGCATAGTCTAGTATGTATATTAGTACTGTATATCCATAGTCTAGTATGTATATTAGTACTGTATATCCATAGTCTAGTATGTATATTAGTACTGTATATCCATAGTCTAGTATGTATATTAGTACTGTATATCCATAGTGTAGTATGTATATTAGTACTGTATATGCATAGTCTAGTATGTATATTAGTACTGTATATCCATAGTCTAGTATGTATATTAGTACTGTATATCCATAGTCTAGTATGTATATTAGTACTGTATATGCATAGTCTAGTATGTGTATTAGTTATAGCTACAGTACCTGTTCATGTACTTTCTCAAAGCACCCCTCTTACTTACTGAGTGGCTTTAGCTGCTTCCTCTCAAAATGCTTCTTTAATATCACTGATCATGATCCATCCCACATCCACCCCTAGGCCCTAGCCCCTCTGCACTTGGAGATCTGACCTGTACCTAGACGGTGGTAGGGGGCTAGAGGACAATGGGGAATGTGACGTTAGATGCTGCAGATGCATTGTGCTAGTAGACTAATAGATACTATAGTCCTACATGAGTATATTCTACTAAGCTAGTAAGGGTGCTAGTAACTAAAGCTAAACCAATGACTGCTATCATCCATAGTTACTGTATCACCTCACTGGGAGCTGCTCTCTTCCATAGTTACTGTATCACCTCACCGGGAGCTGCTATCTTCCATAGTTACTGTATCACCTCACTGGGAGCTGCTATCTTCCATAGTTACTGTATCACCTCACTGGGAGCTGCTCTCTTCCATAGTTACTGTATCACCTCACTGGGAGCTGCTCTCTTCCATAGTTACTGTATCACCTCACTGGGAGCTGCTCTCTTCCATAGTTACTGTATCACCTCACTGGGAGCTGCTCTCTTCCATAGTTACTGTATCACCTCACTGGGAGCTGCTCTCTTCCATAGTTACTGTTTCACCTCACTGGGAGCTGCTCTCTTCCATAGTTACTGTATCACCTCACTGGGAGCTGCTCTCTTCCATAGTTACTGTATCACCTCACTGGGAGCTGCTCTCTTCCATAGTTACTGTATCACCTCACTGGGAGCTGCTCTCTTCCATAGTTACTGTATCACCTCACTGGGAGCTGCTATCTTCCATAGTTACTGTATCACCTCACTGGGAGCTGCTATCTGATTATAACTGATTATTATATTTAATCCTGCTCCAAAGTAACCTGATTATTATAGTTTAATCCTGCTCCAAAGTAACCTGATTATTATAGTTTAATCCTGCTCCAAAGTAACCTGATAATTATAGTTTAATCCTGCTCCAAAGTAACCTGATTATTATATTTTAATCCTGCTCCAAAGTAACCTGATTATTATAGTTTAATCCTGCTCCAAAGTAACCTGATTATTATCTTTCAATCCTGCTCCAAAATAACCTGATGACTTTATGTGGATTAAGGTCTTCTTTTCATCCAGCTCTGTTGCTCTTCCTAAATCATCCTCATTTCACCATGACAGAGATGATGTTCAGGAAGTAGTCCCCCACTCCATAAAGCTCATTGTACTGGGCTTGTCATTACCATAATGGCGTGGATGAAGGATGACGTTTCTTCATGTAAAGGATCTTTCTTTGCCCCTTTTGAGATCTTGTATGAAAAGCTTATTTTACTAGACTATAAAGGAATGATAAAGTAATTGTGTAGAACGTTGATGACCGTTAAGAACTTTTTAGCTCTCACATTGGGGTGTTATTTAATATTATACTGTATATCAATTATATATTATTATAATCAATATTCATATTCACCTGTTTTCTTGAACTGTACTTCTTGCCACATTTACTCTAATTTATGATGTATTGCACTGTCCATAAACACCTCAATTTGGGTGAATGAATGCTCTGCAAAGCTGTGCGTAGTAAACTGAATGTGCAGTGAATGTGCTAGCAGGCACCAGGGTTGCAAACTTCTGGAAACTTTCACCAAGTTTCCAGGTTTTTTAAAGAAATCCCATTGGAAGATTTCCGGAAGTTTCCAGAATTTTCCAACCCTAGCGGGCACCGACAGCTTATGTCCAGTATATATCACTGATCCTGATATCTATTCTGCTCTCGCTTTGGACGCTTGCTGCATGCAGAGGCCTATGAAGAGGAAGGTATGTGTATTCAAGTTCTTTAAATTGTATGTGTACTTCTGATTGGACAGACTGCACTGTGTCAGTCTCCTCTCTCCGTTCAGGAGGTTTGTGGTATCTCAAGACTGGAGAAAGAGACGCTGTCCATGTGTCCATGTGCTCCAGCAGCAAAATACTGCCCAAATCTTTTCTCCTGTTAAAATATCTTTCCCCCCCCCCCATACTCCCAACAAATTAATGAAAGTCAAGGCCTGAGTAAATATCGGAACCAAGAACCAAATCTCGCGTGAATAGTCTATTCACGCGAAACTACAGCCTGAGTGGCCTATATCAGAAGTGTGAGCAAACAGACTTGTTGTGACAGCGTGAGAACAGGGTGAAGGGATATGAAACGCTGCAGTGACTCCTACGTTCATGTCTGCTCTGTCTGCTTCTCTTCCTGCACGACATTCTGCCAAACCAGCGGAGGAGGGAGAACAAGATGGTAGTTTGTACTTCTCTGTTGCTTTGCTTGTGTTTTTCTACCTGTTTGAGTGTGAAGGTCAAGCCGAAAATCTAATCACAATGATGTTTCGGTACTTATTGACGATTCATTGTAATTTCTGACTTATTAATATACATTTCTACCACCAACATGACTTTTGGAATAGAATTAACATGTATCATCCAAGTACAGAATTCAGTCTTGGATTGTAGAAAGAGTCTAATGCAGTAGTTAGTTGCAATTTTCTCTCTAGGTTTTAGAAAATAATTGAACTCATAAATAGCATAGAGATTCTACACAGTAAATAGTAAGATATTGCTCTTGTCCTACTTATCCTTATAATCACTTTTATACTGTACATGTCTGTTATTATACGTTTAGACAACTTTATTTCACTAACACATACCAAATTAACATTGTGCATTTGAAAGTAAGACCTACAAACGGTTTACTTTCCTACAATAATAATAATAATGTGTTATTATTTTATAAGTTAAAAGTAGCCTGAAACTGCAGCCCAAAGACGTAACACGAAGTGTGTTCGACACGGATATGTCCCCTTGATTAACTGAGCCCCCCATTTCGGTCTGTTGCTTGAGATCCCTTGTCACTGTCTATCTGCTGTATGTGATATCTCTAACGCTGTAATATATTCTTCCCCCTTTACGATGTTCTTACTGTACAGAGGAGAAGCCCAAGTTCAAGTGAGTATCCAACATTCATGTCAAACCAACCAGTTCAAGCTGTGTATGTGTGTCCATCAGGGTCGGGGTCAATTCAGTCAATTCAGGAAGTAAACTGAAATTCCAATTCCAATTGTCCTAATTGAAAAGCAAGGGAAGGAGGAATTGAACGAATTGAAATTGCTTGGAATTTCAGTTTACTTGGGGAATTGGCTGAATTGAAAATGGAATTGACCCGGAAGTACGGAACCCTGGCGTCCATGTGTTTGTAACCCTGTAGCTTGTATGTTAAATGTTTTATAGGGACATAACCAATAGTGGCAGCGCCAGAACCCAGTAAATATTGCTGTGTTGTCCTAAAGCGTTAGACACTACTTACGTGGCATCTTTTGACATTCCATAGAGTCCCTAAGGTCCCTGATGGCGAGAAGGTGGACTTTGACGTAAGTGTACTTTAAATCGTTTCTCCTTAATCCTGTATCTTGAACTAAAACATCTTTTTTTTTCAAGTGATCCCTGGCCAAGAAAGCAGCCGTTTAGGTCTGGTACAGTGATACTAAACTGGAGATAATCTTTCTCTAACGTTGTGGTTCTAACAGGACCTCCACAAGAAGCGTCAGAACAAAGACCTGGTTGAGCTGCAGGGGCTGATCGACGTCCACTTTGAGAACAGGAAGAAGGAGGAGGAGGAGCTTATTGCCCTCAAGTCCAGAATTGTGAGCTATTATTACCTGGCATTTACTGCTGTAAATATAGGTGTAAATACCAGGGTTGGGGTCAACCAGGGTTGGGGTCAACAGGAAGTACTCTACAATTACAATTACAATTCTCTTCAATTCTTTTCAATGAGGAACATTTGGAATTTGAGTCGGAATTTGGTTTCTGGTTTCTGAATTGACTGGAATTGAAATGGAGTTGACCCCAACCCTGGTAGAACCAGGTGTAATACAGGAGTAGAAACTATATTTGACTTGAGGAATGGAGCCCAAACTAATACAGTAAACCATGTTTTCTGGTGGCAGACCTGTTAACAACCTATCCCTTAGCCCAAGCAGCAAGGTTACAGTAAACCATGCCTTCTGGTGGCAGACCTGTGTATGTGGTTTGTCCTCTCCTCTCAGGAGAAACGTAGGTCAGAGAGGGCCGAGATCCAGAGGGTACGCACTGAGAAGGACAAGGAACGCCAGGCCAGACGTGAGGTCTGTAGCCCTATACTCCCCAAGCAAACACAGGACACGCAACATGTCATTTAGCTGTTGTTTTTTTACCCAACATGGGGTTTAAACGTGGGTGTCCTGGTTGCCTGTACAGGAGGAGAGGCTGAAGAAGGAGGAGATGGATCAAAAGAGGAAGGCTGATGACGATGCTAAGAAGAAGTCAGCTCTGTCCAACATGGGCTCCAGCTATAGCAGCTCGCTGCAGAAGGTAAGGTGACCGCCACACACTATGCTAAACACAGATCCAGCGCCTCTCAAAATCCACCTTGTTCCCTACATATAGAGCACACTACTTTGCAAAACATGGACCTATCTGCATCACAGCCAACCTGCTCTTCTGGAAACACTTTGAAAGATTTTTAGCGGATGCTTTAGTCCTAGTTGGTTCCATGAAATGACAAGCATCATATACAGTGGGGAAAAAAAGTATTTAGTCAGCCACCAATTGTGCAAGTTATCCCACTTAAAAAGATGAGAGAGGCCTGTAATTTTCATCACAGGTACACGTCAACTATGACAGAGAAAATGAGGAAAAAAAATCCAGAAAATCACATTGTAGGATTTTAAATGAATTTATTTGCAAATTATGGTGGAAAATAAGTATTTGGTCAATAACAAAAGTTTCTCAATACTTTGTTATATACCCTTTGTTGGCAATGACACAGGTCAAATGTTTTCTGTAAGTCTTCACAAGGTTTTCACACACTATTGCTGGTATTTTGGCCCATTCCTCCATGCAGATCTCCTCTAGAGCAGTGATGTTTTGGGGCTGTCGCTGGGCAACACGGACTTTCAACTCCCTCCAAAGATTTTCTATGGGGTTGAGATCTGGAGACTGGCTAGGCCACTCCAGGACCTTGAAATGCTTCTTACGAAGCCACTCCTTCGTTGCTGGGGCGGTGTGTTTGGGATCATTGTCATGCTGAAAGACCCAGCCACGTTTCATCTTCAATGCCCTTGCTGATGGAAGGAGGTTTTCACTCAAAATCTCACGATACATGGCCCCATTCATTATTTCCTTTACACGGATCAGTCGTCCTGGTCCCTTTGCAGAAAAACAGCCCCAAAGCATGATGTTTCCATCCCCATGCTTCACAGTAGGTATGGTGTTCTTTGGATGCAACTCAGCATTCTTTGTCCTCCAAACACGACGAGTTGAGTTTTTACCAAAAAGTTCAGTTTTGGTTTCATATGACCATATGACATTCTCCCAATCCTCTTCTGGATCATCCAAATGCACTCTAGCAAACTTCAGACGGGCCTGGACATGTACTGGCTTAAGCAGGGGGACACGTCTGGCACTGCAGGATTTGAGTCCCTGGCGGCGTAGTGTGTTACTGATGGTAGGCTTTGTTACTTTGATCCCAGCTCTCTGCAGGTCATTCACTAGGTCCCCCCGTGTGGTTCTGGGATTTTTGCTCAGCGTTCTTGTGATCATTTTGACCCCATGTGGCGAGATCTTGCGTGGAGCCCCAGATCGAGGGAGATTATCAGTGGTCTTGTATGTCTTCCATTTCCTAATAATTGCTCCCACAGTTGATTTCTTCAAACCAAGCTGCTTACCTATTGCAGATTCAGTCTTCCCAGCCTGGTGCAGGTCTACAATTTTGTTTCTGGTGTCCTTTGACAGCTCTTTGGTCTTGACCATAGTGGAGTTTGGAGTGTGACTGTTTGAGGTTGTGGACAGGTGTCTTTTATACTGATAAGTTCAAACAGGTGCCATTAATACAGGTAACGAGTGGAGGACAGAGGAGCCTCTTAAAGAAGAAGTTACAGGTCTGTGAGAGCCAGAAATCTTGCTTGTTTGTAGGTGACCAAATACTTATTTTCCACCATAATTTGCAAATAAATTCATTAAAAATCCTACAATGTGATTTTCTGGATTTTTTTCTCTCAATTTGTCTGTCATAGTTGACGTGTACCTATGATGAAAATTACAGGCCTCTCTCATCTTTTTAAGTGGAAGAACTTGCACAATTGGTGGCTGACTAAATACTTTTTTTCCCCACTGTAACAACGTAACAGTATTTGAAAATATGACAGAAAGACATCACATGATTAAAGTTACAGATCGTGTTATTACAAGCTGTAGCTCTGAACCTCTTGCTCAACACAGATCTTGGCGAAATCTGAAATGGCGATCTATTTCCTATTGGCCCCCTATTTCCCATTGCCCGACGACTCATCCTGAATTTAAATTCGTTGTTCTATCGCTCCATACATCTGTCTGAACCTGCCATCCATCGTTTGTGCTGACGTCAAAATGACGTGATTCATGATTTGTGTAGGCCGGCTCTGGCCCAACCCATCGGTTTCCGGGACCAATCAGAACGCTCAGAATGTGTTCGCTTTCTCAAAGAGTCGGGGAGGAAAGCAGATCCAGACATATCATGGAGAAGAAACATTAGTGGGCGTGGAGTTGGGCCTGAGTGATGTGAATGGGTAGCCAGGCTATCTTTCCTATGTAGTAGTGGGGGCGGAGTTGGGCCTGAGTGATGTAGATGGGTAGCCAGGCTATCTTTCCTATGTAGTAGTGGGGGCGGAGTTGGGCCTGAGTGATGTGGATGGGTAGCCAGGCTATCTTTCCTATGTAGTAGTGGGGGTGGAGTTGGGCCTGAGTGATGTGGATGGGTAGCCAGGCTATCTTTCCTATGTAGTAGTGGGGGTGGAGTTGGGCCTGAGTGATGTGGATGGGTAACCAGGCTATCTTTCCTATGTAGTAGTGGGGGTGGAGTTGGGCCTGAGTGATGTAGATGGGTAACCAGGCTATCTTTCCTATGTAGTAGTGGGGGTGGAGTTGGGCCTGAGTGATGTAGATGGGTAGCCAGGCTATCTTTCTTATGTAGTAGTGGGGGCGGAGTTGGGCCTGAGTGATGTGGATGGGTAACCAGGCTATCTTTCCTCTGTAGTAGTGGGGGCGGAGTTGGGCCTGAGTGATGTAGATGGGTAGCCAGGCTATCTTTCCTATGTAGTAGTGGGGGTGGAGTTGGGCCTGAGTGATGTAGATGGGTAGCCAGGCTATCTTTCCTATGTAGTAGTGGGGTGGAGTTGGGCCTGAGTGATGTAGATGGGTAGCCAGGCTATCTTTCCTATGTAGTAGTGGGGGCGGAGTTGGGCCTGAGTGATTTGGATGGGTAGCCAGGCTATCTTTCCTATGTAGTAGTGGGGGTGGAGTTGGGCCTGAGTGATGTAGATGGGTAGCCAGGCTATCTTTCCTATGTAGTAGTGGGGTGGAGTTGGGCCTGAGTGATGTAGATGGGTAGCCAGGCTATCTTTCCTATGTAGTAGTGGGGGCGGAGTTGGGCCTGAGTGATTTGGATGGGTAGCCAGGCTATCTTTCTGGATGGGTAGCCAGGCTATCTTTCTGGATGGGTAGCCAGGCTATCTTTCTGGATGGGTAGCCAGGCTATCTTTCTGGATGGGTAGCCAGGCTATCTTTCTGGATGGGTAGCCAGGCTATCTTTCTGGATGGGTAGCCAGGCTCTTTCTGGATGGGTAGCCAGGCTATCTTTCCTATGTAGAACACTACTGATACAGTACAACTTTCACATTTCATATAATGACTATTTCTGTCTCTGAACCTGTTGCTGTTGCTCTGTCACCCCCCAGGCTGACACTAAGAGAGGAGGTAAGAAGCAGACTGAGAGAGAGAAGAAGAAGAAGATCCTGGCGGAGAGACGCAAGCCTCTCAACATCGACCATCTGAACGAGGACAAGCTGAAGTAAGATATCAGTTTCGGTGGGAGTGTGGATATATTTGTTTCTGTGTTAGTAAGGAGGGGGGGGGGGCGTGAACCTGAACAGTTTGGCATAGATGTAGAGCAGCCAGGAGGTTCCTTGGAGACATCACTCGACTATGAGAATACTCTATTGCCGATTGTCATTTTTCATATCACAGAAATGTGCCGTTTTTAACCAAACCTCCTTAATGTTTTGCTCTTCACCATTTGCCCCTTTGCAGGGAGAAGGCTAAGGATCTGTGGGAATGGATGCATCAACTGGAGTCTGAAAAGTATGAACACATTGAGAAACTCAAGAGGCAGAAGTATGAGGTGAGGGCTTGCATTTTTACATTTACATCAGATGCGCTTCTTCCACAGAGATACTATGCGAAATTACCGTTATTATAACATTAGGGTTGGAGTCAATTCACTTTTCAATCAAGTCCAACAACAACATGTTTTAGATTTTTTTCCCCCCACAGAATTTAAAGGGGCAATATGTAGTAGCTACATACACTACAAGACCAAAAGTATGTGGACACCTGCTCGTCCAACATCTCATTCCAAAATCATGGGTATTAATATGGAGTTGGTCCCCCCCTTTGCTGCTATAACAGCCTCCACTCTTCCGGGAAGGCTTTCCACTAGATGTTGGAACATTGCTGAGGGGACTTGCTTCCATTCAGCCACAAGAGCATTAGTGAGGTCGGGCACTGATGTTGGGCGATTAGGCCTGACTCGCAGTCGGCGTTCCAATTCATCCCAAAGGTGTTCGATGGGGTTGATGTCAGGGCTCTGTGCGGGCCAGTCAAGTTCTTCCACACCGATCTCGACAAACCATTTCTGAATGGCCCTATTACAACCTACACTGTATGTGTTGTACTGTATGTGTTGTACTGTATGTGTTGTACTGTATGTGTTGTACTGTATGTGTTGTGATAATTGCCTTGTTTGCTATTAGTTCATGTGCCTTGCGACCCTGATATATAGGCCTAAAGGCCGAGACAATAAGAAGACAGTGGCAGAATAAATTCAACCACACCTTTGTTTCATCACAAAACCAGATAGCAACCTCTGTCCTGCAGAAGTCCACGACGCATATTGCATGTACAGTAACAGACAGTTACATGACCTACAGCATGGTCAAGCAAGGTAATGTTTCTGACATTTTCGGACCTCTAAACTATTGATTTTGAACCACAGAGAGTTACCGCAAGTCGCAAAGAAAACGGGAGCTGCCTCCACTATTCAAGCACCATTTCAACTTCAACATTTCGAATTGAAGGAAAATTATGAAACACAGAGAGATTAAAGATAAATTAGTTTATGTTTAATTTGTTTGTTTGTTTTTTAATTTGGGGGAAGCCTAGCTTCCCTTGGCGTCCATGGTTTTTGATGGTAGTCCACTCTGGTAGGCCTACATTATGATCAAATAGCCACAGTAGCCTACTTGACCACTGTTAAAACTGTAACTTAAAGCAGGTACAGCCTCATTGATCACAGGAAATGCACCCTGGAAGTTGCACAGGTTTGCTCGGTGCCGGAACATTGGGCAGGAGAACGCTTGGTTATTGTTATAATGACTATAATCTAAATGGATCGGGGTCAATTCCATTTTTAATTTAGTCAATTCATGAAGTAAATTGAAATTAAAGTAGCAATCAGCATTTGAAACAATAACAATAATACGCCATTTAGCAGACGCTTTTATCCAAAGCGACTTACAGTCATGTGCGCATACATTTTTACGTATGGGTGGTCCCGGGGATCGAACCCACTACCCTGGCATTACAAGCGCCATGCTCTACCAATGGAGCTACAGAGGAGCACTCACCAAAGCATATTCCCGCCCCTTTTTGTGTAAAAATCTGTGCTATTGTGCTCTTAGTTATTTTGATCGACCACTGATTTATAATCAGAGGGTAAACGTTTCCTCTCATTCTGTAAGGAAGTACCTGACGGTTGAAAACCATGTTTCAGGCAAAAAACAAGTTATTACTAAGATGATCAGGCTAATTTAGGGTCAGTTTCCCGGACACATGTAACTGGAGATTCTTAATTGATCTTGCTTTTTAGGCTAGGACTGGGCTTAATCTGTGTCTGGTAAACCGGCCCTTATAGTTACATCAGTGGTAGGTAGATTCACCAGATAGAGACAAAGGGGTTTAACCCCTTCTGCTCTGATGTCCTCCAGGTCAACACTATGTAACAGAGGGGAGGAGCTAAATCGATTGAGTAGTAAATAAAGACATGCTCCAAGGACAGGCCCTGGGTCAGTCGCAGCCACAGAGCCGCAGCCAGGGCTTAAAGAGCGCAGGGTCTAAAGACAGGTCCTGGGTCTGCAACAGACAGGTCCTGGGTCTGCAGGCTCTGGATGCTTTAGAAGGACAGTGGAAAACAAAACCCCAAAGGGGGGGGCAGCAGTGTCTGCCCTCAGGTGAAAGGGGACAGGTCAAAGGTTAATAGTCAGAGGGTGAGGTGAAAATGAATGAGTTGGTGTCTCCAAAATGGCATCTTATTCCCTTCAAATGTACAGTGCACCCCTTTTAGCAAGAGCCAAAAGGCCAAATGTGGTGCCCTATACACGACTAGGGTGTCATTTCAGATTGGGACCTGAAGTCAATGAAACAGGTGCTGCTTAGAAATTGTAGTACCCCTCTGCTTCAGATCAGGGTGGCTTGCTGCTGCCTGAAGATAAGTGGGTGTTGCTGTGTCAGTCTGAGGGTCTCTTCCAGTCGGTCCTCTCTTCGTCCCACAGAGAGTAAGAGCTTCCTGCTGAGGCTGTGTGGAGCTGCAGCCTCGCCACTGACCTCCTCCACTGTCTTTCTTGTGTTCTCTGTTGTCCCGTTTTGCCTTGTACTCCCATTGAGCTGGAGCACCAAGAGGCAGAACACACAACGCTGACAACCTGTATGGACAGAAAGAGATCAGGAACAATACAAAAAGAAAGCTACAAGTTTGGCTGTCACTACATTTTTAAAAAGCTACTTTGCCCCTTAGGGCCCCTGTATTCAACATATGACTTCATATTTAATGCACAGGAGGTTGGTGGCACCTTAATTGGGGAGGACGGGCTCGTGGTAACTGCTGGAGTGGAAATGGTTTCCATGGTTTCCATGTGTTTGATGCCATTCCATTCGCTCCGTTCCGGCCATTATTATTTTGAGTCGTCCTCCCCTCAGAAGCCTCCTGTGGTTTAATGACATCAGATCAACTACAACACCTGTGAAGACATTGACTGAGCCGATCCAGTCACTAGTATTCATTAGTGCTGTAGTGGGTACACGTGTGTTAGAGTGCTCTTGGTTGCCCACCTCAGCCCAACAGGTCGTTGCAACAGGACTGCTGCTGTCTCTTTAAAGGTGTCACTAATGACCCAGAGGTCAGGGGTCAAATGTAACGGCCCCCCCTGGTAACTGCTTCTGATTGGTTTAAACACGCTCGTGTGTTGTTTTCAGGTCATCTCTCTCAGAAATCGTATTGATGAGCTGCAGAAACAGTAAGTACTGCCTCCCACTCCCTCAGCATTCCTTCCTCTCCCAGTCATTGGTGGTCGCGTCCCAAAACGGCACCCCATTCCCTATATAGTGCACTACTTTTGACAAGGGCCCATAGGGTTCTGGTCAAAAGTAGTGCACTACATAGGGAATAGGGGGCCGTTTGGGACAAAACTACTCCTCAGAGACAGACAGCATGATAATCTGATCTGATGCATTTCCTATATAACGAATGATGAAATGCATTGTCATAACATCTTTTAATTCTGGTCTGAGTTAGAAGAGAGCTTGACAAATAGTTGTGTTGGTCAACACATAAGGCTCACGTCTGCAACACTAAGGCATGGCTGTTCCACTAAGAAGCACACAAAATGTCCTTAGAACAGGGTTTACAAGGCGGACATTTTGTTTTTGCAAAAAGGTAAGGCCATTGCAAAACACTGAAGTGACGTTGCTTACAATACTAGCCAATAATGAGTGACTTACCTTCGACCATACCAGAGGAGAGGTATTTAACAACATTTCCCTATGGCGGTTCCATCACATTATCATCATCATGTGATGCAACAGAGAGAAGTACTGTAAGGTCCACATCAGAATCATAGTTCTATACAGTATGGCTCTGGTCCACATGCTTTGCGTTGTTGTTGTCTGTGTACTGTAAGGGCTGCTTCAGAGGCAAAGGAAGTGAGGCTCAACAGGATAATATGTCAATAGGAAGTGAGGCTCAACAGTATAATATGTCAATAGGAAGTGAGGCTCAACAGATAATATGTCAATAGGAAGTGATTCTCAACAGATAATATGTCAATAGGAAGTGAGGCTCAACAGATAATATGTCAATAGGAAGTGATTCTCAACAGATAATATGTCAATAGGAAGTGAGGCTCAACAGATAATATGTCAATAGGAAGTGAGGCTCAACAGCAATATATGTCAATAGGAAGTGAGGCTCAACAGCATTATATGTCAATAGGAAGTGAGGCTCAACAGATAATATGTCAATAGGAAGTGAGGCTCAACAGGATAATATGTCAATAGGAAGTGAGGCTCAACAGATAATATGTCAATAGGAAGTGAGTCTCAACAGATAATATGTCAATAGGAAGTGAGGCTCAACAGATAATATGTCAATAGGAAGTGAGGCTCAACAGATAATATGTCAATAGGAAGTGAGGCTCAACAGATAATATGTCAATAGGAAGTGAGGCTCAACAGATAATATGTCAATAGGAAGTGAGGCTCAACAGATAATATGTCAATAGGAAGTGAGGCTCAACAGATAATATGTCAATAGGAAGTGAGGCTCAACAGATAATATGTCAATAGGAAGTGAGGCTCAACAGTATAATATGTCAATAGGAAGTGAGGCTCAACAGTATAATATGTCAATAGGAAGTGAGGCTCAACAGATAATATGTCAATAGGAAGTGAGGCTCAACAGGATAATATGTCAATAGGAAGTGAGGCTCAACAGATAATATGTCAATAGGAAGTGAGGCTCAACAGATAATATGTCAATAGGAAGTGGATTTCAACAGATAATATGTCAATAGGAAGTGAGGCTCAACAGTATAATATGTCAATAGGAAGTGAGGCTCAACAGATAATATGTCAATAGGAAGTGAGGCTCAACAGATAATATGTCAATAGGAAGTGAGGCTCAACAGATAATATGTCAATAGGAAGTGAGGCTCAACAGGATAATATGTCAATAGGAAGTACTTTCACCACATCATACCCAGCTACTGGAAGTACAAGTGAAGCGTTGACAGTTTCACCACTTGCTCTTTTATTGGCCCAAGTATTCTTCAAGATGAATCAAAAGAGAACTAATTGCACTTAACATTGGCCTACTAAACATTGTAGCCCACATTAATTTATTGCCTCAATTTCTTTGCTGTCTGTCTGTCTGTCTGTCTGTCTGAGTCTGTGTGGATGAGTCATTTGTGGAGAACTTTCATTCTTCAAGGATGACAAATAGGCTACTTACAGTATTACTGTATATTAATCTCTCTCTGACCTCGTTTGTCTCAATGGGATACATTAAATAGCTATAGTTTGCCATCTGATATAACTCAGAGGTAAGTATGGCATGGCTTGACATTGTAATGCAGCATGGTCAGGCAACTAAATCTAAATGTGTGACTAAAACTAAATTTAACATTGGTCAAAATGACATCCACTGTGTTTTACGATAGCGTACTGAACATGACATCCAGTGTGTTTTACGATAGCATACTGAACATGACATCCAGTGTGTTTTACGATAGCATACTGAACATGACATCCAGTGTGTTTTACAAAAGCATACTGAACATGCCACTCTAGCTAGGATAGTTTAAAGGTAGTCCAACATTTTGATCAAATAATCAAATCAAATATAACTTATTTTTCCTTGTATGATAGGCTTATTTTCAATATGATTTACTCTCACAGTAGTAATAATGTGACCTCAGAATTAATGTTGGCCCATTGTCTATCTGGATGTTCTAATTTACACGTGGTATGTTCGCCTAAACATGGAAATAAATAATAAATACTAACTATGGTTCACCAAGGGGACTATGGCATTGGGTGCTGTTTAAAGCCAATGCTTGACACTAGAGGGCATTACCTACATAACAGAACAGGACCCCTGACGTGTGTTTGCACTGTTGGCGCATTGCAGCAGCAAGAAGGGAGCCGCAGCCCGCCGCAGAAAGTAAACTGCCCGCCCGAGAGGCCTCAGCACCGGCGTGCGTCCGCCATGCTGCCCGCATCTGTACCGGCAGGGACAACTGACTCTGCCTCTGCCCGCCACAGCCATCCAGAACCCGGGTAGACCCAACGGCATGGAACCGACAAGCTGCACTGGATGTCCTACTGTCTGCTTTCGTATTATGTGAATGATGTTGTCATAGTCGCATTCTTCTCATGTCCTGTCCTCTCACACCGGACTGCTGTTAGGTTCTCATCGTGATCTTTTTTTTTTTTTTGTAAATAAAAAAAAGTGTGACGCTTCATGTGTGTCTGTTGCTGTTGTGTGTTAACTGTTCGCAGCACAATAAAATACATCTTATTTACTTTAGCTTCGCGCGTTATAGTTTGGCTGGGCCTACTCTTGTGAAGTGAAGTAGCCTACCTCAGGTGGGTTTACAAGTCTTCCATGATTTCTATATTTTATTTTGAAATAATATATATTTTTCTATAATTCCAGATATCCTAAATCTATATGTTGCCTATTGATCATTTCTCTATGAGAATTTGTAAGCGTAAACCTAGATGGCCATTTGTAAAAGCGTAAACCTAGATGTAATTACCCCTGACATAGTAAAAATACTAATGGCTTTTTTAAGTAGGCTTATTCGATAGACCTATCAGCGAAACATGTCAAAGACGAAATAAATGTTAGTAACAACCCTGCAATAATTCATCATGCATTCGATAAAAACGAATACAATTTTTGAATACATGCAACTTCTCAAAATGCCAAAATAATATATGTTAGTTTTCGTTTAATTTTACATTTAAATAATTTAGCAGAAGCTCTTATCCAGAGCGACTTTTTCTCCTTGTCTCTTTGCAATGTCGGAGTTTGAACCAGCGATCTTTCAGTTACTGGTCCAACGCTCTTAACAGCCGGGCTACCTGCTGCTGATCAATGCGTTATTTTCTTCTTGAACAATATGGATAAAATAATTGATAATGTGGTGTTCAAATACTGTTATTTCGGTATCAAAAGGATGTCGCCTATGATTGTGAAGTTAAATCAATGATTTTAGAAATAGTAAGCCTAATATATTACATGCACAGTGGGATGTAATTTCGTAAAATAGTTCATGCAAATCAATGATAGAAAATGCAATCTATATATAAATATGTATTTATTAAAATGTGATTCACTCCGTACTTGATATTATAAATATAAAGTTAAACGTCTGACACGTCAATCCAAGAGCAACATTAAATATGATTACATACACTTTCTGTGTGTGGTTCTTTTTTTTTTTTTTTTTTTTTTTTTTGTTGCAAAGCAGCTCTTATTTACACATATACAAAATGGTCCTCATCTTCCGGATTCATTTATCTCAGGCGTTTCCGCCTTGCCAACTGGAAATGATCATATTACACATAATCCCTCAATGAAATTATATTGATCACAAATAGAATGGTATCCCGTTTATATGAATTCAGACTTGTACTATCTTAGAATAGCATAGGCCTACTACAGTATAAATACATTCACACACACACATTCACACACACACACACACACATTATCCAATGTAGACCAAGGGTTCTTTAAGAAATTGGACACTGTCTTTCAAAGCCGGCATGGGAACTTCTTTGGTGTGTAGCCTTGTAACGACCTTTGGCAAGTCTTTGGCATTTTCTCTCCTCATAAGGAATAAAGTTGTGTTTTGAGCAATGTACAATTACTGTATACAGTCCACCGACCCGACTTCACAACACCCGGTAGACGGTGTTTGGGTCACGCAAGGCGGGGACGCAGTTGATCGGGGACGGGATGCGAGCTCCGGTCTCACTCGCTGTGGAACCATCCCCGGGAGAACAGGGGCTGCTACCCTCGGAACCGTCCTGAACAGCGGGACAGGCAGAGGTATCCGTGGTGATGCGCTCCACGATGCTTGACAGGCAGTCCAAACTGGAAATAACAGAGTTTTTCTTGTTTCTGGAATCTGGAAATAAAATATGAGAATTAATATGAGGTTTTTATTACAAGCGTCGGGTTTTACTATTAGTTTGAACATTATGACAATAAAATCTAATCGAATTAAGTCATATAAAGTGACCACATCATAGCAAAACGAAAATGTAGTTTATTAATAATTTAATGGTTTTATTTACTTGGCCAAATATACTCCAAATTTACCGTGTAGTTGTTTTCCATTTTAGACTCCGGAATAATGACAAATTGTTCATCCTAATCAGTAGCTGTCAAGCTGTTTATGAGTGTTGATTACTTGGAAATAACACTTACCATTTGGTATTTCGTTGAAGTAGGTGCTATCATACTTGTTTCTCTGTCTTGGTGGACAAGGTGGGCCATTAAAATCCATCTATAAGAGAGCAATGACACCGATAAGTAAACTGAAAACAGTTAAGTGTCAACCAAAACATTACATTCAAACGCATATTTTGATCAAAATATTCATGAGTAATTAATTACTCGTGCGTAATTCTTGCGTAATTCTTGACAGTTCAGTTTCTTACCATTCCGTCTGAGCAGTTGGAGCGGGGACTGGATGCATCCGAGTCCCCGCTATAGTGATCCATCACCGGGTAATAGTTGTCCTCCTGTCCGGCCCCACGAAGCAGGCCTTGGAGAGATTCAATATAGCTGATGGCATTCCGCAGGATATCCACTTTGGGCAGCCTCTGGTTGGGGTTAGTGGACGTACATCTCTTCAGTGTCTCGAAGGCGTCGTTCACCTTACTCAGTCGCCTTCTTTCCCGCATGGTAGCCGCTTTCCTGCGATCAGCATTGGTGGTCTTCCTCTTACAGGCTTTGCAGGCCCACAGGAGGCACCTGCCGGCCTGGTGGTGCCCGCTCGGTGCCCGGATGTGCTCGTCCTCTTTGTGATGGTGTTCGTCAGGCTTGAGGAGACCCAGATGAACGAGCCTCGGGTCCAGGTCCTCAAAGAACTGCATGTCGCTGGTGTTGAAGCAAGGATCGTCGTAGAAGTCATCTGGAGAGCTGATAGGGAAAGGGATATCCGGCAACTCCATGGTAACTCTTCTGTTCTGTTCTGTTCTGCCAAAATCACAAGAGATTAGACGGAGATCACGGAAGCTGTCTTCTATTTACTAATATTTGTAGTGCGCACTTTTTTATCCAAGCACTCCGCACAAGCGTGTTCCACGGTAATGCGCAGCGGGTAATGTAAAGGGCGTTTTAGCAGCTGAAGTCTGAGGTTGCCCTTGGCGGCTTGTTGATAACCACGGCTCTGGGTTGTATATAAGGAGACCTGATGCTCCAGTGGGCGTGTCTTTACCCGGACCGTTATCTGAGATTACCAATGAGCGAAGGCCTGAAGGGAGTGTCGGAAATGCCTGTCAGAAAGATCAAGAAAAACGGTTTGTTAAAACATTTTAAAAAAAAACAATTTAAAATCAACGTGTATATTTTTTATTCTGTTGTGATTTCTGACAGGAATATAGTTATTATGTGCAAGACATTATGAAATAGACATGGTTTTATTTTGGATGAAGTAGCCTAGTTGAGAAATGTCGAACGTAGCCTAATCATTGTGAAATAGTGTACAGTTAATATGTGATTGAGGTGGGTCAGACCACATGAATTTAAGGAATTTAAAAACACACTAGATGGGCTTTCATTTATCGTTCCCTAAACCTGATCATTTCTATGCATTTTGCATTTTTGTGTGGATTCCCGTCACACACAAGAAACAAAAGTGATTTTCCATTAATCATTGCTATTCCCTTTGGTTTACAGGCCAGCTACTTTCATGGTTTCTCTTGGAATATAACACAGGGATTGACTCATCACTGTTTGAATGGGAGTGCAAGATGTTCCGTTAGTCAATCAGTCATTTCCAACAACCGACGGACGGTAGATCGCGGTGAAGAGACGACGATCTTACCCTATGGAGAAGGACAGGCTAAGGCCAAAAACACAACCACAACCTCACTCACTGTTGTAGTTCAATAATTAATTGATAAAGTTTGATCAAATATATTTTTGAGCAGAGCATTTATCGTGTTTTCTTCTCACCACATTGTATTGAATGTTAGGACCACACATTTGTGGCCTATGAAGTCAGTACTGTAAATGAGCAAATCATTGTTTTATTTGATCAATTTATTCGATTTTTGTCGATTTTGTACTGCACTATTAATTATCATGATATTAATGGAAATGTGTTAATGAAAACGAAAAGGGTGCCTTTTTATTTGCGAAGTGGTCCCATTTGGATGCGAAACGAGTCGATATAAATGTGCTTAATTCGGGGGGAAACTACGTTTTTGACAGTAAAAAATTAAACGAATCGAAATGTCATACTCCAAATATAGGTTACAGACTAGTTACATCTGGAGGAAATGAACTGATGCAGAAAGACAGATCTGTCATTTGTCCTGTCTGTCCACTCCCCTGTTGAGTGTCAAAGGGTCAATTAGTCCTTTGATCTGGTGATGAGGGGCACACCAGATCCACTGGTTGGCATCTTCACTCTCCTATCCCAAGAGATCGCTCACTTCTCCGGTGTTGGCTGTCCAATGGGCCTGCTGGGATATTCTACACAGAGAGACTACACAAAGCTCCATGCTGTACTATGGACACTATCAAGGATATTGTAAAACCAGACAGTCACAAATAAAATAAATTACAAAATCATGATGGTTAACAAATTAATGAAAGGGACATGAGTTATCAGATTGTGTCTGTCGCCATGGTTATCTGATCAGTTATCAGACTGTCTATCTCCATGGTTATCTGATCAGTTATCAGACTGTCTATCTCCATGATTCTTTGATTGGTTATGAGACTGTCAAGATCTGATCAGTTATCAGACTGTCTATCTCCATGGTTCTCTGATCAGTTATCAGACTGTCTATCTCCATGGTTCTCTGATCGGTTATCAGACTGTCTGTCGCCATGGTTATCTGATCAGTTATCAGACTGTCTATCTCCATGGTTATCTGATCAGTTATCAGACTGTCTATCTCCATGGTTCTTTGATTGGTTATGAGACTGTCAAGATCTGATCAGTTATCAGACTGTCTATCTCCATGGTTCTCTGATCAGTTATCAGACTGTCTATCTCCATGGTTCTCTGATCGGTTATCAGACTGTCTATATCCATGGTTCTCTGATCGGTTATCAGACTGTCTATCTCCATGGTTCTCTGATCGTTTATCAGACTGTCTATCTCCATGGTTCTCTGATCAGTTATCAGACTGTCTATCTCCATGGTTCTCTGATCAGTTATCAGACTGTCTATCTCCATGGTTATTTGATCGGTTATCAGACTGTCTATCTCCATGGTTCTCTGATCAGTTATCAGACTGTCTATCTCCATGGTTCTCTGATCGGTTATCAGACTGTCTATCTCCATGGTTCTCTGATCAGTTATCAGACTGTCTATCTCCATGGTTCTCTGATCAGTTATCAGACTGTCTATCTCCATGGTTATTTGATCGGTTATCAGACTGTCTATCTCCATGGTTCTCTGATCGGTTATCAGACTGTCTATCTCCATGGTTCTCTGATCAGTTATCAGACTGTCTATCTCCATGGTTCTCTGATCAGTTATCAGACTGTCTATCTCCATGGTTCTCTGATCAGTTATCAGACTGTCTATCTCCATGGTTCTCTGATCAGTTATCAGACTGTCTATCTCCATGGTTCTCTGATCAGTTATCAAACTGTCTATCTCCATGGTTCTCTGATCAGTTATCAGACTGTCTATCTCCATGGTTCTCTGATCAGTTATCAGACTGTGTATCTCCATGGTTCTCTGATCAGTTATCAGACTGTCTATCTCCATGGTTCTCTGATCAGTTATCAGACTGTCTATCTCCATGGTTCTCTGATCAGTTATCAGACTGTCTATCGCCATGGTTCTCTGATCGGTTATCAGACTGTCTATCGCCATGGTTCTCTGATCAGTTATCAGACTGTCTATCTCCATGGTTCTCTGAATGATGATCCATCTGGTTGCGTTATTACTGTCTTGGCCATGTCGTTTTATCCAGCATGCACTGTGGTAGTCCGGAACACGGCTGTAATACACACTGTGGCTGGCATTAAGGCTGTGTGTGTGTGTGTGTGTGTGTGTGTGTGTGTGTGTGTTTATTTCTTTGTGTTTTATTTATTCACTTCTACCAATCTCAACACTTCCGACCCTGTTTTTATGTGTGAACGGGTGCAAAACAAATTCTCGATTGCAAATACCTTCTCCGGGCTGAGTGGCTAAACTGCAGTCACTGTGTTAAATATAGGGGCAAGTGAAAGCTAAGACAAGTGCCCTTTTACTTGAGGCTGATATTATGCTGGGATGGATTCAAACCAACTAAACAGCACGAGTTGTGCCAAGTAACAGAGGAACCAACCGACTGGACGAATACAACACTCTGGACTTTTATAGAAAATTAAATACAAATATGGAAATTATATAATTGTTCTTCTTTTCCTACTGTTATTTTTGCACATTTATTGGCAGAGGAAACGCCAAGCCTCATCGACTGTGTTCTCCAGTTATTGGCAGAGGAAACGCCAAGCCTCATCGACTGTGTTCTCCAGTTATTGGCAGAGGAAACGCCAAGCCTCATCGACTGTGTTCTCCAGTTATTGGCAGAGGAAACGCCAAGCCTCATCGACTGTGTTCTCCAGTTATTGGCAGAGGAAACGCCAAGCCTCATCGACTGTGTTCTCCAGTTATTGGCAGAGGAAACGCCAAGCCTCATCGACTGTGTTCTCCAGTTATGTTGTATTTAATCACA